CTTTCATGCATTTCTTAACATTTCTTAATTTCTAAAAACCAAACCTCTATTCCTTTAGCTTAAGTAAAGATCCCTATAGCTTAATATATTAAATCTTTTCCTCCTTGTGTTCGAACCCTATGCTAGCTACAATTGAATTATGAGTAGGTTGTTAGCTTGATAGGTTTTTATTTGAAAGAATGGAAAAACCCTTCTCATCAAATTGGCGCCGTTGCCGGGGAGGATAACGCAATTAGCCATTAAGTTTGGGATTTTGTTTGAGTGTAAGGCTTTTATGTTCTTTTGTTGCTACTCTTTTCTCTTTTTCTTGTGATCTTGATCTTTTAAGTGCGCAACTAAGAGTGATGGAAACATTCAAGGAAGGTGTGAATAAGATGATGCAACCGTCAAGCTAGTGACGTTAAACGCGCCTCTTGGGACCTCCCAAGTCTATCCCTTGTCAAGCTAGTGACACTAAACAAGCATGAATAAAGAGGAGCAAAGGAGATGCAAGGCACCCTTTCCGTGAGTCATTATACCATTCATACTAGCTTCAAGGTAACAAAAATGACATTCTTGGATGGCTAAGGAGGTAAGTGTCCTTGACTTTCTTGTTTTGACACGGTTTTCTTTAGTCTAAACCGGTTGGTTTGAGTTTGAAATTGATTTATATGATTGATTTTAGACCGGTTTAGACAAGATAAAACTCCTTTTCAACTCTTGAATCACAAATTATCCTTCCTCTCTCTCATTTGTCAAAAGGTTTTGCATCAAAAGCTCTCTTTTCCTATACAACTCTCACTTTTCTCATTTGCACACTCACCCACTGTTTTTACAAAGAGGATTTCGAAATTCATACTCTCCTTTCTATTATCAACTCCATCATTTACCAAGCACAAGGTATGATGCGGCTCTATCTTAACCTATCTCTTCCATTGAAGTTAAAGTACGGGGGTAATATTTAATTTAATGAATTCTTAAATTGTTGGTTAATGTTGCTTGCCTTTGCTTTGGATATGGTTTGTATGTCTTGGATTGTTGATTTCTTGAGAGTTCTTGATGAATTGATGGACTTATTTTGAAAATTTTGCCTCTTTGGGTTCTTAGTGTGAATAGTGACGAAAATGAGTTTGAATTTTGATAATTCAAGAAAAATTGGAAAATGGCTAGAGCTTTCTCTTTCAAATACTACTATTAAGCATGCTTGATCATCACTTATCTTGAGATTATTGAGGAACTCTCAAATTTGCATGTTTTGTATTTGAAATGAAATTGCTATGTGTTGAAATTGAAGAAACCTTGAATGGTGTTCTCATGATCTCTCTTACATGCTTGTGTGTATTCTTTGGTTGATGTATTGTGCATATATCCATTCATGATCTTTAATAGTCGTCTTAATTAAGCTTGATGGATAGTAGCATTTAGTTATAAAAAATGCTTTGATCTCACACTACAAGAAAACAAATAGTTAGTGACTCCCAAAAGAGTCACACATTCGTCACAAAGACCTCACTTGCGACTACTGTACGACAAAAAAAGGTAGTCGCTAAACATTCGTCGCTAATTTTTAGAGTCACGCATGCGTCGCAAATTTGCGACGCCTTTGCTTCCATTAGTTGTAGTCAGTAATTTATGATTACTTTGAGACATTAATATAGAGTCACAAATTAGCGACTAATTCGTGACACCACAAAATTTACGACTACTTAATGACTGATATTATCGTCTTTAATTTGTGACTAATTTATGACGAGTTTATAGTCGTAAAATTGCGACACTTTTGAGACTACTGTGTTAGTCACGAATGATTATTTGTAGTTGCATAATAGGCACTAAAGCATTAGAAATTAACGACTACTTGGCGACGCTTTAACTTGTTTGGCCACGAATGATCAGATGTAGTCGCAAGTTAGTCACTAAAGCGTCACGAATTACCAACTACTTTGCGACGCTTTCTATATTTTTGTCACGAATGATCAGATNTAGTCGCATGTTTGTCACTTTAGCGTCACGAATTACCAACTACTTTGCGACGCTTTAAACTGTTGAGTCGTTAAAGTGTACCATATTTGCAACTATTTTCTGACTTAAACACAATACCTGAACTTGTATAAAATTGTGTTGTTTTCCG